TATTCCCTGCTAGGATCACTGTCAGGCGAGAGCCAGTCCAAGCCATGGCTGCTGCCATCTGAACTCCTTCCCCCCAAGTCCCTCCATTCCCGGTGCTGGACCGTGGTGCTGCTTCACATCTCCACAGTGCCCTGTCCCCCTCTCCCAGGAACTCACCCCAGGGGCTTTGGCTGTGAGTCATTTTTCCTGCTTTTCCAGGTCAAAATGGGATTTTATGAAGGACAAGAAACACAAGAGCAACTTCAGTTGTGTGGGCACCATGAAAGGGCTCCTCTGGCCCCCTCGATCTGCGGTGCAGAGAGGATCAGGGGACCATTCCCTTGGTTCTTGTCCTGGGTACGCCGGATCTCCCTGCCACTGGGACATGCTGTGACTGGGACCAGTGGGAAGAGTGGGTTATGGGAAGGCCTAGGTCTTCTTCTGATGGTTGGGGTGAACCCCACATTGGAAACTGTGAGCCAAAGGTGGAAGTGATGTGCAAGAGGTATTGACACTGCTGAGCATTAAGCTTAATTTGCAGTATAATAAATTAAGTAAAATATAATATGTTGGTCATAATGACAAGTGTAGAGTTTACCTGCCCTGACCTGGCAATGAGAAGAGACATCTGAGCCTGAATGAAACCTTGTGGGCTGTATTTGTTCTCCAAGGATGGGCTGGCACCTCCAGAAAAGGATTTATTTGAGCTATGAGACACTGCAGGCAGCCTGGGAGGAACAGCCCTCTGAAGGTTCTGATCCTGCTGTTGACTGGAGGGGGCCCATGGAGACTGGCTGGGCTTTAGATGTGTAGCACTCCTCCTCTAGCATGCCCAATGCTCTCTTTTGAAAGGCAGTTCCAGCTGAAATGATAACATTTGACCCTGTCCTGGCCATCCCACAAACCAAGACACTGAAGCCTGAAAACCATGCGACTGCTTCCTACCTGCACGAAACTCACTGAGTTTTAAGTGGTAGATACTTTGGAACATGAGGGTAATTACTGGCTCCTGGAGATTACTGTATAATTACACTTAATGGACCTCAAAGTAATTACCATGTAACCTGGATTGTGGTTTATGGAACAGAAATAACCGTGCATTTACACAGCAATGAGCTGCTGCCCAATTACCTTGTAATTCTCATCCTCTGGGCCCAGGCATGGTAATTACATTATGATCTCTCTTGGCCCCCCTCTCTCTTACATAGTCTTCTCCTTTACCAGTGTCCCTGCTTGGGAATTACTCTACAGCACTGTCTTGGCTTTGCCCTGTAGGTATTTACACAGTAAATCAACCCAGAGAGTCTCTCCAAATGGGTCTTCCCTTGCGCCTTCCAGGACGCCAGGCTTATATGACTTATGTCCTAGGGAATACGTATCAGGGAATTACAAGATAGGGGACAAAACCAGAAGAAAAATATGGAATGAGGTTGTCTTGGTTGGATTTTGTCTTGTGTACCTCTGACAAGGTCCATATCAGACCTTGCTGCTGGATTCCCTTTGCAGCTCAGGGGATGCAGCAGGTCCTGCTATGGCAGGGTTTGTCTCCCCACACCAAGGGCTATTTTCTCTCCTCCAGTTACAGAGGGAGTCTGGCTGCCTGCTCTACATGTATGGATTTGAGCAAACGAATCCTGCTCTTGTAGGACCTACCCCTCAAGGTCTGGAAAGGGTTCACATAGTCTAATAATTGCCAATGCTGGCAATCAGCAGGAGAGGAGCACAGGGCTGGTGACAAGACCACAAGCTCTGCCTCCCCGCCGTGTCCTCCCTGCCCTGCTGGCAGAGTCCCAGCACACGTGAAGCTGCTGTGCACGTCCCCAGGGCCAAGGAGAGAAACAATAGCGTCCCCTCCTCACGCCAGCTCACACCTATGAGATATGAGAGCTCTGCATCTCCTAAAGAGCTTGCTCTGACACACTCAGTTCTCATCTGGGTCCAAGAACATCAGTGTTTTTTCCCAGTCTTCTCTGCTTGAGCCCAAAATGATCTGTTTAAGAATAGATAGCCCAACACATGACTGCTAATACGCCTCGCTCTTTGCAAGGCGCACCTAGCTCATTATCAGCTGCTTGGATGCTCTTAGCCAGTTTCTGTCAATGGTACCTGTCAGGCGTCCTTCACTGTCACGGCTGAGTGCCTCACATTATACAGGCTCTGTTATGTGGGGGAAGACAGGGCAGGACTTTTACAATGCACATCCCTTCACCGAAGCTCAGGGAGGCACAGGAGTGGGTTTCCAAAGAGAACGGGCGATTAGAAGTGCAGACAGGAGACCGCTGGGCATTTTGAAAGCATCAGTCAAATCCCATTAACCTTCAGATCACTGCACTGAATGAAATCAGAGGGCATTAGCAGCCTAAGTTGACTGACAGTCCCAAATCTCTATCTGCACGTAAGGTGCTTAATACTTTTAAAAGTCTCACCCTGCTGTGACTTTCCCAGGTTACAGCGAGGTTTCACAGCAGCGCAGGAAGCTGCAGAGGTCACTCAAGGCTGGGTGTCTGCCTGCGCTGCTTCCCTGCCTTGTACCACAAACCGAGGGGCTGGGATGAACCTGTGTGATGCCAAGGGACTGACCCTGGAGGAGAGGCACCAGGAGCCCCGTCCCCAGATGACACTCAGCCCACCAACGTTGTGTCACTGGCGCTGGGGGAAGCTCTGTGCAATGGCGTGGGGTTGAGTTTCTCCCCAGCGATACCCGACATGTCTGTGAGCAGCCGACAGATGGAAAATATTGCCCAACAGAGAGGAGGCTTGGCTCACCTGTGATTCACTAACAGAAAAAGGGAGCTTGATCTGTAACCAATATTATTTACAAGGAATAATTCAGTGTGCTGTAATATTTGCTCCTGTCTTTCTCTAAAAATGCATTTCCTTTCCAGCCCACGTCTCTTCCAGGCAGGCTGGTCTTTCATCAGCAGATGAATATTTTGTTTGTACCTCTGTGTGTGTGCAAGTATGTACAGGACCAGTTCTTCCTGAGCGAACACACACCTTTCCCAGCCCTGGCAGCATCTCAGTGCCTCCCTCCCCCCTGCACTTGACAGATACAAAGAGCATTGTGTTCAGCAGCTCCCTCTGGGTAAAAAAGCCCTCTCTGAATGCTGGCATATACTGGGCTTGTTGGAAAGTGGAAGTGCAACCAGGTGTAGTCATGCTGCTCCAGCCTGGCTGCCAGCAACCCCAGTCTGTTCAGGAGAGACAATGTGCCTGTGCTCGCTTCTGCTGGTGCTTCCTGGTTTTTGGTGAGGTGAGCCTCCCTCCCGGAAAACAAACCAAATTGTGCTCGTTAACAGCTCCCCTGAGTGATGCTTGCAGCCGACTGCCCTTCATCCGTGTGCCGCTCGCACCACCCTGACTTGCCTCCAGTGCTGCCCTGTGCCAAGCTCTGCCGATTTCGGGGGGTTCATCTGGTTGGAGGAGTCTGGAAGAAGCCGGTACCTGAGATGGTCCCCAGGTGCCATCTCTTCCCTGCAGTGGGGCAGCTCTCCCTGAAGCCCAGACCCAAACCAGGACACAAGGGTGGCTTTCCTCTCCCTTCTGCTTCCTTCCCAGAACTTGAGTCGGACTCTGGTTCAAGCAATGACCCAGAAACAGCCTCCTTCACTGCGGGGGAGGCTGTGGATGTTCATGGAGTGGGGAAGTTTCTGCTCATTTAGTGAAATTCAGTCCTTGGGTCTTTCCACAGATATCTGATACCAGCAGGGCTACATCCATCCCAGAGGTCGCTCCTCTCTGCCTGCTCTCCTGTGATGAATTTGGCCCAGCCTGTGCACCTGGTGGTGGGTCTCCAGAGCTTCTTTCCCAGCGTAGGATCAAGGCAGATGGGAAGGAGTCTGGGTTCAGTGGGTCAGGGAGGATTTTGTGTTTTGACTTCAGTGGCAACAAAATTTCCTCTACTGAGCATGTCAGTGAACTGTACATCATTTACAAACCCTTTCCAGGGGCTGGGTGGATATAGAAAATGGACGTGCCATAGAAAACGCCTCCAAGTGTCCCCTTTCTCTCCCTGTCTTACCTGAGCTGCTTGGGCAATGCTTTGCTGGTCCCAACTCCATGCTCTGACACTTTCCCACTGCTTCCAGCTTTGGGATGACGTGAGGAAAGCTGCAAAAAGCCAAACTTGCTGCCAGGTGACACTATCCCCACTGATCTGCTGGGGCGCATGGGCAGGGGTTGCCCTGGGGCTGACCAGGGAGGCCTCTTGGTCCAAGGGAGCTGGACCTGGCATTGCTGGAGTCTCATCTGCCCCAGCTCTGGGGTCTGCCCCAAGGCTTTGCACGCTACACAGGGGGTCTTCTGGCTGTGGGGTGCTGCCCTTTTTGGCACACTTGGGAAAGTGGACCCAATGCCAGCATTACCTGGTGGAAGGGTGCCAATGCGCCATGCCATGGCTATGCCAAAACAATAGGGAAGCCTCATAACAAAAAAAGAAATAATGGGCATGGCATAAGGAAGAGAGTTTTGCCCTTTATCAAGGGCTTTTGGAAGCAAAATCACCCAGCCAAGAGGTTCAGGAATGACGTGCAAGAGAAATGACTATAAAAAATCACTTTCCTTAGTTGGGCTCCAAGTTACCAGCTCCAGGCATCACAGTGGGATGTCGAAAGGAGCCTTGTCTGTTCTTCCAGTTAAAATGAAAACCTCTTAAAGGTCACCCGGTCTGCCCAAGACACAATGAACTGGCTGGCTTTCCATTGTTGTTATTTCTAGAGTAAGCCTATAGCTTCATATTTTGAGGATCTTAACCAACCCTGTTGTTTATTTAGAAATAAAAGTAAATTGACATCAAAGGCACAGTTATTTTGGGCTTTAACTGCCAGGGTGATTTGAAGCTGACAACATGCAGCCTGGAACTATTAATATCTTCAATCGGGCCAAAAGG